TATTGAAAAACTTACCACTTCGCCAGTTCTTGGCTACGCTGACGCAAAACTCCCATATCTAGTACACACAGATGCTAGTACGACCGGACTCGGTGCAGCGCTATACCAAGTGCAAAACGGTGTCACACAGGTAATCGCTTATGCAAGTCGCGGTTTAAGCTCTAGTGAAACTAGGTACCCTGCGCACAAGTTGGAGTTTCTAGCCTTAAAGTGGGCCATAACAGATAAGTTTCATGACTATTTGTATGGGAACACATTCACTGTCATTACTGATAATAATCCGTTAACTTACCTCTTAACAACGGCAAAACTCGATGCAACGAGCTATCGTTGGCTAGCTGCGTTGTCCACCTATAATTTTGACATCAGATACCGTGCAGGTACACAGAACGTTGACGCGGATGGCCTGTCTAGGAGGCTGCATGATAAACCTGAAGACAACTCAAAATTCACTGAGGAATGCCAACGACTAGATGAGTTCCGATCTCATCTTTTATCCTCTGTCAAAGAAGTCGAGCTTCAACTTCAAGCCGAAGCAGTGAAGGCAACATGCCAAAAGCACATGGTCTTGGATGAGACTGATTCTCCTTGTGGTTTAGTTCAGTCACTTGCCATGTCTGCAGCGGCCATTCCAGACCTATTCCAGTTGGAAGACAATAGTGACAGTTTCTTTGCTGTGCCCAAGTATAACCATGCTGACCTTGTCTCCTTGCAGAGGAAAGATCCAACCATTGGCCGAGTCATTCAGCTGCTTATGACTGACAATAAACCGCCAACTGATACTATTGCAGAACCCCCGGTGGTTCTTAACCTTTTGAGAGAGTGGAAACGGTTTGAGTTTCAAAATGATTTACTGTACCGGAGACGCCAATTAGGACCAGAGACATCATTGCAGTTAGTCTTGCCTGATTCATTACGTTCAACAGTCATGCAAAGCCTACATGATGATATGGGGCATCTTGGGGTTGAACGTACGACAGATCTCATTCGGTCCCGTTTTTACTGGCCAAGAATGGCTAGTGATATCGAAATCAAAGTTAAAACTTGCGAAAGATGTATCCGTCGGAAGGCCCTCCCTGACAAAGCTGCTCCAATGGTGAGTATTACCACCACCAGACCTATGGAGTTAGTTTGCATGGATTTTCTCTCCATAGAACCAGACAGTAAGAACACTAAAGATGTCTTAGTGATTACAGACCATTTTACAAAGTATGCAGTGTCCATCCCAACCAAAGATCAGAAAGCCACCACCGTCGCGAAGAACCTGTGGGAACATTTTTTAGTCCACTACGGGTTTCCTGAGCGTCTTCATAGTGATCAGGGACGGGATTTCGAATCACGTACAATCAAGGAACTTTGTTCTTTACTTGGTATCCGTAAAGTCAGAACGAGCCCTTATCACCCTCGTGGCAACCCCGTTGAACGGTACAATCGTACATTACTCAGCATGTTGGGAACTTTACAAGCCACTGAGAAACATCACTGGCGCGATTTTGTAAAACCACTTACTCACTCGTACAATTGTACAAAAAATGACGTGACGGGATACTCTCCCTACGAGCTAATGTTCGGTAGGCAGCCTCGGTTGCCTATAGATATTGCCTTTGGGTTACCGCATTTGAACAAGCCCTCTATAACTCATTCTCAGTATGTTAAAGAACTGAAGAGTCATCTGGAACAGAGTTATGACATTGTCATAAAAAACTCTCAAAAAACAGCGAGGAAGAACAAAGAACGGTTCGACAGAAACATTCGTGAGTCCACACTAGGTGTGGGAGATCGTGTTTTAGTCCGAAATCTTCGCTTAAGAGAAAAGCATAAATTAGCAGACAAATGGGAGCAAACAGTGTATATAGTTCTCAAACAGATGGAAAACTTGCCAGTATACACTGTAAAACCAGAGAACGGAGAAGGACCCAACAGAACACTCCACAGAGATCTTTTACTGCCTTGTGGTTTTCTCTCTTCATTAGAAAATGAAACAGAACGCGTTACGAAACCTAGCAGACCTCATACAAGACAGAGTTCAGCCTTAGAACCTGACCCAGATGAGCCACTTGACGAAGAGGTAGATGAGTTTTATTACTCTGATCTTCCACAAGTGCTAAACCGACCATCCTATCAAATAGCGGTCACCTTGCCAAATAGGGAACTCATAGCAGATTCAGGACCGGTAAATAATATTCAACAACAAAACACACTATCCTTACACACAGGGGATCGCAAGGAACCAACCTTAGCTGGTAATGAAAATGCTGAATTGTCCTTACTTGACAAAGGCATCAACACCGAAACATTCTTACCTGACAGAATGAGTGAAACTGCGACATTCTTACCTGAAAGAGTGAAAGAAGCAGCAACATACTTACCTGAAAAAACGAAAAAAAACGAAGTATACTTACCTGACGTAGAAACGGGGGATGAAACTAACACAAACCTACCTCAATTGGATGGTGTCCTAAAGTCGCAGCAACGTGATGTAAGTTTTGAACCCATCATACATGATCAGACACATACATCTGAAAAGACCAAAGTCTTAGAGAATAGCTCATCAGCTCTGTCGGAAACAGAGAGCTCACTTCGTCCTGTCTCAGTTGAGAATCAAACCGAAACGGATGAGCATGATACTGTGCAACCAGAGATGTATGACAGGAGATCTGAACGAAGTAGTCAGCCTCCTCAAAGACTAACTTACTCTCAATTGGGCAATCCACTAGTGACCGTAGTTAGGTCCCTTTTCCAAGGACTTAATAAAGCTTTTATTGACTCTCTTACTCAAGAAGTTGTGTACCCCGTAGAAACAATGCACAGGGACGTGCATGATATTTAATGGGGGAGGATGTAACCCAGAAGCTAGAACCTTAATGAGGTATTAACTAATTGGCTTACTAATATGATCCATCCTCAATTTAGATAAAATATAAAATATAAATTAAGGAAATTAACAATACTAATTAATAGATATCTAATTAACTAATAGATAATTTCATAATGAATTATTGGAAGGGTGAATAACTAAAATAAGGAGTTTAATATTAAACATCGGTTAAAACAAGAATCTTGAACATCACTAACAGAAACAGAAGAGGAAAGCTGTATACTATTGGTCCAGGTGGGAATCTGAAATTTCATTGGCTGAGAGAAATAAGTCCCGCCTCCGCGAAATAAAACCGTGCGACGCAGCTGAGCGAGAGGAGAGACAAACGGCTGTGCAGCACGCAGATACAGAAAGCAAAGACTGAGCGGTTAGAGAGAGAGAGAGAGAGAAAAAAAAAACAACGGTCGAGGCCGTGAAGAACCCTGATTTGGGTGCCGCATAGATAGAGGGAGAGGCGGACTTGACTCCTTCTAATAAGAGCTAGGAACTTGGAACCAACGCGGTGAGTAAAGAAAAAAGAAGAGAAAAAGCTAACGATGCAACTTAAAAAAAAAAAGGAAACTTAAATAGCTTATCAAATTAATTCCATTCTTATAGATTTGTGTGGAGACGACAGAGTGAACCAATCCTCTGTAGGAGGGAACCGTTGGAGCGCGTTGGTGAGTGAGTGAGATTAAATTCAGTAAATTATTAAATTCAAAAAGCTAATTACAGCAACCGAGGTGACAGCAGTGGGCTGCTAGACGTTAGATCCCAGGAGTTAACATCTCAAACTACCAGTTAACGGTGGTAGGGCATATAGGAGTTAACGGCTCAAACCGCCAGTTAACGGCGGTAGGGCATATGGGATTCCCAGGAGTTAACGGCTCAAACCGCCAGTTAATGGTGGTACGGCCTAGATGTACAAGGTCCTCAGGGGCGTTATAGCTAACGCCATAGAATTAGCAATGCGTCCCTTAACCAAACATTTAATAATAAAAAAAAAGATAAATAAAAATAAATAAAAGCTAACTGATTAGGGAGGAATTATTTTACAAAGGTGGACCAAAGGACCAGAATTTATATTTTGTTGAATTTTGTTATAGAACATTTTATTTATTTATTTATTTATTTATTTATTTATTTATTGTGTTACAGATATACAAGGTGTCACAATGCTGTATAGAAACACAACTAAATGTATCCTTGTTGTCATGAATGTATTTCTTGTTGAATAGTGTAGAGTAATAGAATCTAACTGAGCCTATTGAGCTGAACAATTGTTGTCATATGTAATTATATTTCCAGAGCTACTGAGAATTATTTTAATAGACAATCAAATTGATGTTATGTTAGTTGAACTGTGAACCCAAACATGATTGGCTATGCCAATAGAGTGAAGCATTTGTTAAGTCTGTAAGACTTTATGCTGTGATGTGACGAGAAGGGTCGATGCCAACTCGCTAACAGTCCTGTTGTTTACAGGCTGGGTTTTTTTTTTTCCTTGGGTTTGATCCCGACTCCTATGATCACTCACTTGGAACGAGAACTGGATTTCTTCCTGACGAGGGAGATGGCGAGCCTTAACCACTGAACGAACCAGGACATCTCAAGTAACTGAAGAGCAGACTGCTCTCTTCTGTGAACAATCTCAACGGTGTGGTAGGAAAAAATCGCACCACCGGACTCTGACTTTCACCCCAAGCGTGGGGATTTGACTTGACGCCGGCTGACTTGTGACTCATATGATCAAATCTCATACCGAGCATTTTACTATTGTCGATTGTTTTCATCTGTTTTTGTGTGTTATCTTTATGTGTTATATTTCCCATTATTATTAAAATTTAGTATATAAACCGTTTCATGCTATACCCGTGACTCCAGTCATTCTTAAACAACCTCCAATTCTCCCCGAACCTAATTATTGGCCCATTTGTTTATTTTTTCTTTTAATTATCTTATTGTATCCTGTAATCCGGTTACATATATTATTATTTTTGTGTGACTAGACACATTTTATTGTTTGCAGAAATATCTGTTCTGACTAAGAGGTCCAGTGGTTCTCTGGTCAACATCAGAAAGAGATTTTCAAATATTTCTTGAGAAATCTGAAGATTGATGCATTAATTGTGCTGGGACTTACCTCTGGGAGGCCTGAATGCGATTCTGGAGCAGATTGATCTGTGGGTGAACATACAAAACCAAGATAAAAGAAGCTCCTTAGATCAAGAGTTAAACCTTTTGGTGCTGAACAAGATCTCAAACATAAAATTAATTGTGTTCAAATGGTCAACTAAAAAAATCTTCACTGAGCTCAAGTAACTAAGAGGGAAAATCTACAAAATCTCCTGAATTAACTTATTGGAGGGATGTAAATAGTTAACCGGTTAATTGCCATTAATATTATAACTGGGTAAAATAGTTTTGCCCAGTTAACTGCTCCAAGTCCTGCTGCGGCGCTGGGGTGTAATACTGTATATTTTGAGCCACTAGAGAGTGAAAGAGCATTGCTATCAAAATATGTTTACCGGTCAACCTCAGAAGAAAAAAATAAGTTTGTCACATGACCAAACAAATGTGCTCAAACATGAAGCGGTTAGCAAAGAGCACAGCGTGATAGCAGTTTATTCTCTGTTATTTCATTCTTGGAACACAATAAGCTTCACATCAAGGTGCAGAGTCTGTCGGCCATGACGCTCCTGCTTGCTTCTGACTCCTAATTTGTCTAGTAAAATAAAGAAACGTCAGTGTAAATATTTATCTCATTGTAAGGAAACTAAAGTGTTTTTTAAAAACCGTGGCCCCCAGAATGTACTTATAAACACGCAATCGCAAGCAACACTGTATTAGATGCCTGACGGTTCGCTACCCAACAAGTTATCGGTCTGACAGTCGAGCCGTCATCCCATTGTCTTTACTTTTTGCTCATAAACGTAACCAGTGTGGGACTTTAGTCGTGTGTCAGAATCATATTAAACTGAGAGGACGGAAAGTTATCAATAGAGTGGAGCAAATTTTTGTGTTTTGGAAAACATGCGTCCCTAACTTATTGTGATCAGCCTTTAATAGAAAAAGTCAAAATGAAAGAGAAAGTTTAGCAGCATGTTTATATTTATATTTATTTGGGAAATGTGCAGTCATGTTGACATTTTGTAAAGTAATTTAGAAAATATCCAAATATAGCAGTTTTTTCTTCTTAGAATAGATACATGCCTCTAGGCCACAAAACAAAGCCAACATAAAACAGCTGGTTGTCTTTTGGGTAAAATCCAGAGTTGGAGGAAATTAATCTTCTGGTTGCACCCAAAAGTAAAAGCAGGCCATCCATACTCTGTAACAAATTATGATTTCTACATTTTAAATGATCTACTATTCACTCTCCTTCATTTCAGCCCAAAAGTCCAAAAACATTTGAGGGACAGCTTCCCTGAACTCTGACTTTTAGCTGTCCGCTATTGTGCCATTTAGATATTGACTTCAGATTATGCGTTTTCTTCAGGCTGACCTGAGAAACAATCTGTTCTCACATGTCTTGAAAATGCTGCCTAAGGGCAATAAATAAACCTAAAACACAAAACTAGGTGCAAATACAGTCTACTGTATCTAAAAGCAATAAAAAATAACACCAAGTCCTTCTAAGGTGTAAGAATGTAATTCAGAAAAAACTCATAAGTTAAATGTTTGGATGCAAAGTTTCCTTTCAGTTTGGAAAAAAAATTCCGTAGTTGTAAAAAAATGAATTTGCAATGTTGGAGGATCTCTCATTCTTGCATCCAGCCTCATGAAAATGCATAGGAAAAAGTTGGCATGAGTACAGCTAGTTACTGATAAAATGGTTAACCAGGAGCTCAGAGTAACAGTTTCTCAAAGGTGAATGATGTTAGAACAAGGTAAGAATGACATCCTGTGGTCAAATATGGGTACTGCAGTTTATGTTTCTAAACAAAGAATGACTCACTCCGGTTCCGTGAGTTTGATGGCAGTTGCCTTTTACAGTTTACAGTTCAGCGCCAGAAGACGAGTCATACACAGAAGGCTGGCAAGTAGATAAATAAATACATTCCATTGTAATATCAAGTTTTAAGTAATTGTAAAAGTATTTTTAGAGCCGGCTATTTGCTTCTAATTCACCATTAGCATTGTTAGCTTGACGTTAGCCTATTACCATCTTTACTTGATGTTAGTAAAACAAAAAGATAGCATGGCTCCTTAAGGTTACAAGAAATAACTTCATGCCTGCTCCTCTTAAAGGTTCACACTGTCCACAGCTCTGGAGCTTTTTCCCGGCCGTGTCGAATTACAAATGGCAGCGTTAGCTGGCACAGACTCTGCAACCAAGCTCCTCACAGATTGTAAACAATGACTATCATCTTTTTTGAGGAAAAGAAAATGACAGCCTCCCAGCCGACTGAGAACCAAATCTGTAACCTTCCCTCCAACATGAATGAGACATTAGACTGTTTTGTGATTATTTCACTGTAAAATTCTTCCACTCAATGTTCCACTGAGATGTTTCTTACTCATTAAGACATTTAAACATTCTCTGACTTCTTGTGTTGTGAAGGCCAGATCCACAGCAAACACCAAAAAGCCTGAGATGTGGCCAGCAGCAGCTTAGTGACAGAGCCCTGAAACGGCTAATTCTGTAAGGTACTGAAACGTTTGAGAATAAAGCTGCTGAGATCCCTTTATGTGATTTAGTATGTCCCTTTTGAGGAAATAGCTTGATTTGAGTTTGCAGTGAGAAAAGGAGTTAAAAGGTGAGCATTTATTAGCTTATGTTAATTCTTAGTGACCAACTTAAACAGATCCTACCTCTTTAACAGAAGACCAACAGTATAGGGGTACATTGTTTTCAGAGGCCAATAATAGGGTTGGTTTTAGAAATTAAGCCCAGAACCATTGGTATTCTCACCTAAAATGCTGCCCGCTTAACTCCACTGTGGAAAAAAGTCTCTGATGGACAAAGGGAACATGAAAGATAATCTATCACACTGATTTCTCATTAAGAAATCCAGTTACTCCCAAAATCCAACCACTGCTTCCTTTCTTCTTCTCACACACAATTTTTTTTCAACATTTGAAATTATTTTGTCCTGAAATCACAAATATTCCAGTTCCTGCATTAACAACACACACACACACACACACACACACACACACACACACACACACACACACACACACACACACACACACACACACACACACACACACACACACACACACACACACACACACACACACACACCTACTCTAACCGTTCCAACTTCTGCTGGTCATTGATCTGACTCTGGTGTTTATTGATCTGAAAGTCAAGCAGCATTGATCTAAATAGGCCTCCTCAGGACAGCCTCTCATTAGTGAAACAGCTTTTGGACCACTGTGTGCTATTGGTGACATTTTATCCCACAATCCTTGCTAATATGTGTGCGTAAATCAGCTTAATTAGCAAATCTGCTGCTAATCTGTTGCTTATTAGGGAGAAACTATGAAACATTAGCCTAAAAGTGCTATTAAAGCAAAACTTAAGTAGTATTTTGGGAAATATTCACATGCAGAAAGTTGAGACAGGAAACAATCTGTTTGTTATACATTTTTCTTCCGTCTAAATATCAAATAAGTGTATTGCTACACTTCTCCTGGAGTGATCTGAAGCTTAGAGGGGAATAAAAAAAGCACATGCCCTGAGGCAGAGTACTCACATCATACTTCTGTCTCTTCAGCTTCTCTGTGAGGTCAAACTTCTCAGCCTCCAATGCCATCATCCACTGCCAAAGCTCACTGGCCTTTTCCCTTTAACAAACCAGGAGATCAGACGCTGAAACTAAAATAGGTGTTATTTCTCATACAAATGCCCTTCGTCAGACTGGACCAGTTCTCACTTGAGTTTCTCCTCACTGAGATGGTCGATGTTGAGCGGTTTCTTCCTCTCTGCCAGGATCTTTCGTTTCTTCTCCCTCTCTGTTTGCCTTTTGGCTCCTCTCTTCCCATCCTGCTGTTATCACAGAAGATTAAACATGAACAAAGCGGAATAAGCAGCAGAGAAGAGGTAAAGTAAGTGGAACTGACCTTTTGCTGGACACCCGCATACTGCTGAGTCATGTTTGTCAGAGCTTTCTTCTTCTTGGCATCCTCGTCCTGCTTCTTACGAGCCTCCTCTTGCTCCTTCCTCTCCTTTTCCTCCTGTCATACAATAAATACACAGTCAACCTGACACTTCTTAAAGATTCTTAAAACATATAACTAATTATTTTAACTGCCTAAATAAAAAAAATGGAGTTATTTTTTACTAAACTGCATCATTTTTGCCCAAGTAGTAATTTTGCAGGTCTCAAATTCAAAAAGAATCACAGCTATGCTCTGACATTTTTAATCGGCTTATGAGAGGAAATGACTGGTGTTAAACAGGCCCCCAAAATGTAGCCGAGACACAACACAGAAAGAAGAAAACTCTTCTGAAACATACATTTCTTTCTTTGTAAAATGGAGTTAAGCAGAGTCATTTTCCTATTTTCAGTAGTAAATGTTTCCAGTGTTTGTCAAGCTAACGACTACTGGGAGAACAACCTATTCAGGAACAAATGTACTATTTTTCTTCAAGACAGAGACAAAATCATCTAATAAGAAGTTCTTGCAGGCCACAAAAACTCGATTTTTCAAAAATGTGCACTGCTTGACAAAGCTTAAAATAGACATTTTAGTAACATTTTTAACACAGAAATGTCTAATATGGAACAGCTGAACATAAAAAATGCAATTATTCTAGAAATGCACAATATCTATATGAGGGATGCAGAGGGCCCTCAGACTACATGCCTGATTCAAATAAGCTGGAACGGCTTTAAAAAGATTTGTGCATCAAAATGTCGTCAATTACTGGTTAGGGTTTGTTAAAATCCCACCAAAAACTCAGTATAAGGAAAGGATTTCATTTTACCTGAGAAATGTGAGGTAATGTTCTCAAAATGCCCTTAAAGCATTAATGCTCATTAGAGAAATAGTTATATCCAGGACACAGATTTTTATTTTTGCAGCTAAAACTGAAACCATTAGCTGAGGGGCTGAAAGTAGCTGCTGGTTTTATCCTTTCAGTTGACCCCGTTGACCTCTGGCTTTAAAATAAACGAGAGTTTAAAAAGTTGATGCCGTCTGGGCTCCTCCTCCAATCTGCATAATACATTTTCTAAAGGAACTCACAGCAAGTCGAGCCTGCCTCTCCTTCTCCTGCTCAGTGCGGATCCTCTGCTGCTCAGCCCTCTCAGCACGACGCTTCTCCTAATCAAGCATGCCCGCACACACGCACGCCCGCACACACGCACACACACACATACACTATGTAATTGTTTGCTGGGTAGTACATCACTCTGACAGTAGTGTGCGCTCTCATGGAAGACTTACAATCCTGTTAACAAGAGCGATGAGCTCCTCCTCGTCCTTCTTTCTCTGAATGAAGTGGGCCTCGATCAGAAACTGCAGCTCGGTCAGATCCTTCTCCTGACGTTTCCTGTGGATGTCCTGAGGTCACACGAACACAAACTGTGGTTTCTAACCTGTGGGGAGAGTCCACTAATAACGCCTGCGCTGAAGCACTATTTGGGCATCTTAAATGTACCAAAACACACCTTTCTGTGGGAAATAGATTTATATGCCCTTTAAAACAAGACCAGAGATTGCATTTTTACACACTTTTTAGGGCTCCTCAGTTCTGCGGGGGAACAAAATGTAATAAATGAGAAACGTGTTCAGATGAAAATTCACTGGACATGCTCAAAATAAAAGCGTAAGGTGCTTCTTGATCAGCCAAATGAAGACGTGGACAGACATCGCTGCTCTAAAGCTGCCACAGAAGCCTAGAGCAGGGTAAAAATAAGGTTTTTTCAGAAGCTTTGATACTTAGAAACAGAAATGTAAGGAAAAATAAAGCTGGATGTGTGGTGGTGTGATTTTATTTCTGGATCACCCCCACTGGTGTGTTTTGCCCTAGGTCTTTCATATTTTCTCGTGCTTACTGTCCAAGTTTCACCACAGAACGTGAAAAGAGACAGTGCTCTCCACTTGAAAACAACACTCAATATGAGCATGCTTGAAAAGATGACAAACATATTAAAATACATAATTTTTGTGAATAACATTGTTTTTGTGATTAATTCAAACTGATATTTGACACATTACACTTAAAAACACACAGATATTTTTCATTGGAACTAATATGTTGGACCAGGTTTTTTCTATGATTAAGCTCTGTCAGATTTGGGCAAAGATCAGTATGTGTCAGTTTTTTTAAATCACCTGCTAGCATGGACGTAGTTTTGACTTTAGAAGTGTGTGTGTGTGTGTGTGCGTGAATGTGGGGGGGTGGGGGTGGGTGGGGGGGGTGGGGGTTGGGGGCACAACTGGCATGAGAACCGGGGAGATCTTTACAGTAAGTATACAAAAAATACGTATAAAACTACAGGCTCTTTTATGCAATGCCAGGAATGCAGAGCTGTCAAGTACACAGGTGGCAGGAACGGCCAATCACACGTTAGCAAGTACCAGCAGAGCCAATAGATGAGCACATGTATGGTTCTAATGGGAAACGGACTTCAACACAAGCAATTGTTTTCTGCTTGGTCCTAGTGCTCAACCAGTGTCTAACATAGTGTAATCTTGTTTTTGGATGGTAAAAAAGTGCAGGGGACAAAAGTTGACTTTGGAAAAAGTGGGCGGAGGGAGAAACATGCCTGCTAGTGTTGGGTAAGATAAAACCTACCACACCGTAACTCTTCAAAACTCACATCAAAGTCAACCTTTTCTCCCTCAGGGATCTTCGGAATGGAAATCGACGGAGCAAACACCCTGAAAGAAACAAGTTTGTGTTAAAAAGAAAAGTCTTGGTAAATTATTAAGAATATAAAGTAAAAACTTACCTTGGCTTGGGCTTAGATTCATCTGTAATGTAACAGGGAAATGTGGGTTTCATTTTGGGTTACACATTATTTTAATTCATTTAGAAGGAAAAGGTTTGGTCTAACATCCAATTCTAGATTTCTACAACTAGTCTCTTGAAACGTTTCACTTCTCATCCATCCGAAAGGCATCTTCTGCTCTGAGTTTGGGCTTGGAGGTCAAGGTCAATGACTTATATGTCATCGCAGACCAATCACATTAACCGTGTTAACCCTTTAATCAGTAGGTTAACCACTAGGTAAAGCATCATTTAGCTCATATACCCTTATTTGGAAATAAGGGAAATTTGGAATTTGGAAAACATTTTTTCATGCTTAAGAACATTCTCACATAGTATAGTTACAAATATAATGTGGAGATTAAAAAAAAATTATAAAGTGGTTCTCTCACAAATGTCTAAAAACCTCAGTCAATAACACGTTTTGGACCAAAGCAACCATTGAACCATCTGTGTCGGTCTCACCGAACCGCCACACTTCCCTGGGCGCCCCTTTCATTACGTATTTCATTACGCGTATTTAGCAACAGAACACCACTGGTGTGAGAGGTTCTCCGCTCAATAATATCAGAGGAGAAACAGCCAGCTGCTACCACTCCATCTTTAGGACAAACAAACTACCAGAGTCCCCAGCAAAAAAACAAAAATTAAACGCCATTTGAAGTCACTGAGACTAAAAGACGTTTGGACCTAGAAAACTGCGACTGGTGTTTAGCTTCATCTTGTCTCAGGGAAGATATCCGAGGTGAGGGGTGAGTGTAGTGTATGTTTTAGCTTGTTCTGTAGATTTTTCATAAAAGATTTAATGAAACAGGCACTGAACAAAACTGGAAGAAATGTAAAAGTTATAAAAGTTATTAAATTTCCAAATACAAGGTTATTTATTGAATATTTTAATATAACCTGACATTAATTATCTTATATTATAGCCCCATTGACCCAAATGAATAAAATATCCCAAACTCCAAAAGGTTTGATTGCATTTTTCTGGATATGGAAGGGAAAGGGTTAAAGTCATTGTTCTGAGACTTATAAGTATGTGACCTCCAGTCCAGTGCCATCTAATTTAAATTCAGCCTAAATTTGTGTGTTTTGGGGAGTTTGTTGTACTGTCTATGCACCATCAGAATGTCAGCGTACCTTCATCTGCAGCCTGAGACTCTGCTGCAAAGAACAGGAGATGTGAGTGCATCAACAAGCAGAATACAAATGAATTTCCTTTATTACATCCGAAGCCGGCATCACAAAGGCTGATATTTACTTTATATATTCTGATACGAAAACCTCTCTAGCATGTCAGGGGTGAAATGGAAAGTCTAAACTCTTTCTGTATGTCATGTCACAGGGCTTCAAATCTCATTTATCAGATAAAAACAGGCAGGTTTTTCTCCTTTATTACTGTGGTGTGTTATTAAAGAAAATATTTGGGGTCTCCATCACAAGAATAAACAAACATCTTGTTTTTGAATCTGAATAACTGTAAAACATCGATGGCCAAGCAAACCTGAGTTAACAAAAAGTTCAGATTTGACCTTCTGTGTGGTCTTTGGTTAATGGAGGAGATGGTGAATAATGAAATGGAAAAACATCTGATTAGTTCAGGTGTTTCCAGGGGAAGTGCACTAATTTGCAGGAAAAACAACTTCCATATAGTTAAAATATAAAACATAAATCAACTGACTGAATCACAAAATTTCAGCCATAACATCAACGTTGTAGTATAAAAAGATTCCATTGAAAGAAAATTCTACAAAAGTATTCGTTTTAGAAGAATAAACAACGCTTTATCACAGCAATTGTACCAAATAAGTATTTCTGTCCAAACTCTTTGATGCATTTAATTAATCACTTTCTTCAGAGTCCTAAAGTAGCATGCCCAAATCATAAACCTTCCACCACCTTACAAAAACAGGGCTAATGGAATAATCTGTATTGGTTTTCAATCCTGGACAATTATATTGAATCAGGACCAGCACTGCAAGTATTGCAGATATTGCTGTAGATGTCCTGTGTTATCAATAAAATGCTAGACCATTGCAAGTAAATGCTAAATAATTAGCACTGATGCTAACCATTAAGAGCTTGTTGATATTTTAGAAATTTTACTGCCATTGGAGAAATGCAAGTTGTTGTGATCAGTGACATAGTGAATGACACCAATAGGGTTAATTTCAGGGACTTTCCTGCATTTTTGCTGCAGGAAATGACATCACTATAACCTGAGTGGATGGTTTCAGTCTTGATTCTGGTGCACAAAAATGACAGTTTTTCAAGAACTCATAACAATATGACAGAGACAGAAGGCTATGATGCTGCAAGAATAAAAAGTCGTGGCCTGCATTTTTAAAGCGCCTTCGTAGGGTTCTACAACACTCCAAGGTGCTTCACAGCACCCCAAGGTGCTTCACAGCACCATCAGTCATTCATCCATTCACACGCTGGTGGGTATGAGCTACGATAGCCACTGACAGAGGCGACGCCTGCCGAACACTGGTGCCAGTCAGACTAAGTATATATATATATATATATATATATATATATATATATATATATATATATATATATATATATATATATATATATATATATATATATATATATATATATACATATATATATATTACAATTCTTGCATGTAATTTTTCAGCTTAATTAAAAATCAGATGAAGCTCTGCCTGTGCCCAATACTTTATGGGGTGCTGTGTGTAAATATTAGCTTTACAATAAAGACTTTTGCTAAATATGACCACAATATTTATGGTTTAGCAGTTTCCACGTCTGTTTCTGTGGTCAGACTGGAAGTAAGATCAGAAGATTCTCACGATGACGTCAGGTCTGATTACTTTTCTTGTGCCAGAGGATTAGGTCCTGATGAATCTCTGCTCTTTTAATGAAAACAGGAAACCGGCTCAAACCCAACTAGCACACAGAGAGAATACTTCTGATTTCTGATGAAACGCTGAAGTTTTAGGTTCTCGTTTTCTACCCGAACACACGTTACATTTTCATTTTCCACTTTTTGAACATGATGGTTTGAGGTGGAATTTAATCGTGCGTCAGTTCATGAGGGTTCTCAAACTCTCAGCTATTAATAATAAAAAAGGGACGTTTTTTACCTTCAGTTGTGGAAACAAGAGGTTCTGAGGAAACACAAAATAATTAGTTTATATAATTATGTCAAATTATATAATTAAATTAAGCAATCACTGAAGACTAAAATAAACAAAGTCAGCTTAAAATATGTTTTTCCCCAAAAGGAATCTCAATGCTCTCAAGTTTCTCCTGCAATGCAAACAAATCTTGCCTAAGTGGATTTTACAGTATGCACAGACGGTGATCCCATTTAGAGTAAATTTTCTAATTCAGGCTCAGCGGGCAGCTCCTGCACCGCCAGACGAAGCAGTAATTACTGAAAACTGGACCCAATGGGACATAAATGAATGGGAAGCAATAAAAAATAGCATAATTTTCTGTAACGAGCACAAATAGATGGGTTTGAAAAAAACATTTCCGAGATCTCATTCCCTTTTTGTGTGATAACTAGACAAAAATGCAGATACACATAAAATAAAATCATAAAATCTTATTTAATCACAGATTTATGGTTCTGATTATTCAATTCAGAATATGACACATTAAAAATGTAAACAATTACCTTCTGCTTTAGCTGCTGCTTCTTCTGTGCAACAACAGAAAAAACAACAGAATAAGTTCTACTGCTGCAGATTAAAAACCACAACAAGAACTGTGCAGCAGCTCACACTTTCCTAAAATACAACAACACAAAAGGGCAAGTGCAAAAAAGCAGAGAAAGGCTGCGTTCACACACCAGAAGTAAGTCATACAAATCCTTTTCTTTCAGCTTTCATGACTCTGAAGAAAATATGGATCAGTGGATCAATGAGACTCGGCAAACAGCTTGCAGCAGGGATCTGGTCACACTCGGGGCTCTGTGATGTCAGCGTCTCAGGGGATGCATGAAAACATGGCGTTGGACAAAAAGGTACAAACAGGGAATGATCTTGGATCATCAGCTGTGCTGTTTGTAACACATCAAATATGAGAAAAATCTGACCAAATGGTTTTGTTGTTAGTTAAAATGTGACATGCATGGATGTCTTCAGAAGTCAGAATTCCTCAGGTGGAATCAGACGTTCATGGCTCAGATGCAGCATTCCGTCAGAGTGTTAAATGAAGTCTGATTTAAAAGTGGGCTAAAAATGGTCCAATGGTTTTAATGTTTTATAAAAAAAAACAAATTAAGGTGGCACTCATGGATGAGCCGACAGATTGGCGCCAACAGCATCCAAACGAAACTCAGCTAGCTCGCTGTGCTTTTTATCCCTGACAGCAGCAGATGTGCAGGAAACAAAGTGATGCACACGTGAAGCCGTGCAGAAGCTTCAGCCTTCCCGCTGTGACGTGTTCTGCCTGAGCTGACATAATTAGGTCAGCTGCATTCAGAAACGGCAGGCAGAAGTGACATTTTGGTTTTGTGAAGAGGCAGAAAAAGGCTCACAAAGTTAGAACTCACCTTCCTCCCTGAAACAAAATGAAGTAAATGGGTAAAACTTTTGGAAAGGTCAGTGAAAATCTATTTTTCTTCTTTGAAGATCAATTATGAAGTATACTCACAGCACCTCCTCAACTAGCACTTCCTGTACTATTTCTTCTTCTTCTTCTTCTACAACCACCTTTTCTTCTTCTGTCACCTCTTCTTCTGCGACCACCTCTTCTTCTTCTGCTACTATCTCTTCTTCTGCATCTTCAGACATTTCTGCTTAAATTTACCTGAAATCACTGAAAAAAACAAGCAAACAATAAAATACATGAAAAATCCAAGCTTTAATTATTCCCATAAAGTATGTTTTAAAAACTTTTTGAAACATTTTGTACCCGCAGCTCAACGTGCACCAGACTAATGTCTCAAACGAACCACTAAATTATTTTACAAAGTCCTGAGATTTCCTCAAACACACAGATTTAAGTGTTCCAATGAGAGTTTACAACCTTTATCATTTGTGTAAACGGACCCTTAAGGAGACAAACTGGTCTGTATTGTGTGAGACTGGAATAGAAGAAGCAGAAACCATTCCACCATGCAGGCAGAGGCCCAGGGCTTTCAGCAGCTCCAGGCCTAATCCTCAGCCATTTCCTCCTGGCGCAGATCAAGGCTGCAGGCAGCCGCCTAAAGTCTGAACAGCGTCGAAACTCGCAGGACTGCATGAATTTTTCAGAGACCCACTGATGTGTGTAAATCCTTGCACGCCGCACCAGTTTTGATGTGCACCCTCGTAAACAAGATTCCAAAGACAGAAAAGGCTTTGATGTGGTGCGTTGCAAGAGATGCCCGTCATAAAGATGTATAATTTAGTCTGATCCTCATGATTAACATCAGATTCTCCAATTTAGGAGTTCAGTTTCATCATCATTTACGCAAATTATTTATTGGGCATTACTCACCTCTCGTGAAGGTTTGTGTTCAGTTTAATTTTCACTTCTTTTGTTGGATAAGAAAGCAGAACAGCCTGATACGTATGGGAGAAATACGGGGCAAGTCCGCAGCATTCAAAGGTAGCAATAACAGGGTAGTTATGGAGCTAAGTACAGGGCACATATCCTTGTACACATAAGTACTCTGTACTTACCTCTGTAGTACCCTGTACATACTTTGTGCTATCACTGTACATATCTCAAATTACCGTGAACATGGTAATGGTAAATGGGCTATACTTGATAGAGTGCCTTCTAGAGTCCTAAACCCCCCAATGCGCTTCACAACAAAGTAATTCATCCATTCACACACATTCATACACTGGTGGCAATGAGCTATATTGAAGCCACAGCTGCTCTGGGGCACACTGAGAGAGGCGAGGTCTATGGCGCACTGGTGCCATCAGTCCCTTCGACCACCACCAACAGGCTTGCTTGCCCAAGGACACAACAGCAGCATTCTCTGCCAGGAATGGGATAGACCCTGCAACCCTCCAGTTACTGAACAACCCGCTCTTCCTACTGAGCTCCTGCTGCCCCACAAACCTACATAACCCTTTCCCCATTAAATAATTACCCTATTTGTACCGCTGTTAAGGGCCTTGTGGATTGGCTGGATGTCTTATGGTCAGACCCTCCACGCCATCACTCATTTGTTTCTGAAGAGTGGATTTGAAGCTCGGTGGGCTGTTCCCTCCACCAACATCTTGGCCACGTCATGGGTCTCATCACTCCCAAAAAATACAAACATGCAGATGAGAGTGAGGCTGTGAGGGTGGAGACAACTCAGAGTCAACATAGCCACGAGCTAACTAAAGCTAACTGAGATTGCCATACACTTTTAGCCAGAAAACCGGGGTTGAGTGATTCTCTTACCCTCTGCCTTCTAGGCTGTAACAAATTTAGCGTGTGGCTGAAGCTGAGGCCTTCGTTGGTGCAAGCAGGGAGTTACCCCAGGACTACATCAGACATGGAAGCGGGATGATGCGCTGCAAAGCGCCATGCAACGAAGAGCCGTTGAACAAAGAGCTCTTGTATTTGGCGCCCTTGTTAGCCTTTGGTCTTGATCACATCAGCCGCGAAGCGCTACAAAGGCTCGTTGTGCAGTGATCGTTTCAGCTTGTGCTCAAATTTTTTTGTGAGTGAGCCGCATCAGTTCTGGCAGGAAGTCAAACCCAAACAGATGAGGCAGGCCAATAAATTTGACAAAATAAAGACATTTTTCTAAAAAAAAAAACAGCCGAAAGCAAAACTTATCTCCCTGCTTTGCGTTTGTGTTTTTAACACCTTAATCTAACTGCTGAAATGCCTCCCCAGCCTTCCTTAGTGTCCACAGGAGAGATTCATCACTAAATTAAACAAATCAGCTGTGTTCAAGATCTAAAACATGCAGGAAACGTGTCGGAATCAGACTGCAGCGGCAGGTATGTCAGCTCAAAGTCAACAGAGCGGCCCGCCAGTCTGAAGTTGCAAGTACGATATTCTGGCCACAGGGTGCGATGGGGCTGGGTAGCCTTTCATTAACTCTGTCCCAGGGGTCTCATTTATCAAACATTGTGTAGAATTCTTACTAAAACCGTACATAAGCTCAGCAAAAAAAAATGTACTTATGCCAAGTAGGTTTGTGATCTATCAAACATGGAGTACGCTCAGCTGCACGCAAACTCCGCTTCATAAATCGGAGACTAACGAGAAAGTTTCTCAACTGCATTTTAGTCACATCCCGCCCTCACCACGCCCACTTACTGCCATAAATAGTTAATGCAAAGTGTCTTGAGGATCGCATGCATACACATAAGCCGGCTGTTGCAGCGCTCCGCCAATGACGATGGCGACCGTAGATCAAGGCAGATCAAAGAAGCACAATTTCACAGAAGCAGAAATGAAAGGAAGTGCTTTTGCAAAACAAATAAGAGAAAATCCACAGAGTGGCACAACATTGCTGAAGCCGTCAATGTTATGAATTCTTCAGAGATCTGTGGCGGATATA